AGTCCTATCAGTGATGTCTCAACGCTATATAAAACACACTGAAGCTACTTGTTATGATCTGAGACCAGATAAACTTCGTATCTGTGACAGGAGGTATCTTAATGGATTCTGGTGCTGACGTAATCTGATTGCTGCTAGCCTAACAAAGATTCTGTTTCTGATTTTCTTGTAGCAAATGACACACGCCACAGATAATAATACATAAAAGAACCACGCATCAAACACAAAATGACAGAAAACATCTTAATTGCATAAAGCAGCCCTACTCTAAAACAACATCCTGGGGTACCAAGATGACGTTACTAAGCTGTTAAAGCAGTCTCCGGTCATGTGACCTTTTGGTTCCATACTACACATGTATATGCAAACTACTTGTACCTCATCCTGATAACATAATGTTGTCAAAACGTTGTACATTTATAATAAAGTTTTTTTCGTTATTCATTCAAGACGTCTCCAACCTTTTATATTCCTCGTCATCAAATGTAAACTATTATTTATTTACGAGTTTTATAAAATATAAATATATAAATACAGGGTGTCCGAGAAGACTAGAGTCATCTTAGGCACGAATGTTACAGAATGTGTCCCATATGCTGTCTTTGTAATTCGAAACAAGTTTGGATTAACAGCTAAATTAACTTGAATTTCTAATTCTGTGACAGCACCATGATCAGTCACGTGTCTGAAATTAAGAAAAGTCACAAATTACCTATGGTTCCAAACTTTTCCGACACCCTATATATATACACACACGAATAATTTACAAAACGTTATCCGTAATTTTTGGTCAAATATTCGTTTTAAAAAATTGTAGATAATTCATTTGTCAGTATATGTGAACCAAAAATATATTGAAATAATTGTAACCAGAAAAAATTATTGTTTATCCCATAAATAGCAGAAGACCCAATCATTTCGAATAAAATTTCAAATTGCATTAATTAGTATGATAACAGATATATCACACTGAGAACTTACCTACTAGGACTATGTATGATATATATCACACTGAGAACTTACCTACCAGGACTATGTATGATATATCACACTGAGAACTTACCTACCAGAACTATGTATGATATATCACACGGAGAACTTATTTACCAGGACTATGTATGATATATCACACTGGGAACTTACCTACCAGAAATATGTATGATATATCACACGGAGAACTTATTTACCAGAACTATGTATGATATATCACACTGAGAACTTACCTACTAACACTGTGTATGATATATCACACCGACAACTTATTTAGTGGAACTATATATATATGTATGATAACACATATATCACAATGAGAACTTATCTACTGGGACTATGTATGATAACAGATATATCACAATGAGAACTTATCTAATGGGACTATGTGTGATAATAGATATATCACAATGAGAACTTATCTAATAGGACTATGTATAATAGCAGATATATCACAATGAGAACTTACCTAATAGGACTATGTGTGATAATAGACATATCACAATGAGAACTTATCTAATAGGACTATGAATGATAACAGATATATAACAATGAGAACTTATCTAGTGGAACTATATATATATATATATATGTATGATAACAGATATATCACAATGAGAACTTATCTAATAGGACTATGAATGATAACAGATATATAACAATGAGAACAGATATATAACAATGAGAACTTATCTACTGGGACTATGTATGATAACAGATATATCACAATGAGAACTTACCTAATGGGGCTATGAATGATAACAGCTATATAACAATGAGAACTTATCTACTGGGACTATGTATGATAACAGATATATCACAATGAGAACTTATCTAATAGGACTAGGTATAATAGCAGATATATCACAATGAGAACAGATATATAACAATGAGAACTTATCTAGTGGAACAATGTATGATAACAGATATATCACAATGAGAACTTATCTACTGGGACTATGTATGATAACAGATATATCACAATGAGAACTTATCTAATGGGACTATGTATGATAACAGATATATCACAATGAGAACTTATCTGATGGGACTATCCCCTCCTCTCAATTTGGAAAAAAAATATATGTGGAGACAAGTCAGCAAAGCTCAAGCCTGTTGAAACATTATATTTTTACATACTTTAAACTATAATGTTACGACAGCGGAAGTCACGCGACCCTGGAAGCATGCGCGCTGGAGTTTCTAGAAGGATCATGACTTTTCCTGACAACTCTAGTCTGCTCTAGGAGCCCTTTTTTGGTATATAAGTCCGGCAAATAAAGCGGAGAGATAATTGCAGATAGATAGATATAGAGACAGATAATTGAGTCAAGCGAGCAGTAGTGACGGTAATATAAAGTGTGTGTTTTGTTATATAGATTGCAAACGTATTGACTGTGGAAATTTTGTGTATTATAAAATTGTATCGAGAAAGAATAAACTATGTTTAATTAAGAAAGGAATTGTATGGCTAAAGTTCCTCGGAAGGAATTTATACCGGAAATTAACATACGAGCAGATACGCAACAATAACAACAAAATAAACTTTCGCTTAGATATACCTGTTAACTGATTTCTTGATGGAGTAGATTAATGTAATTTGATGTGTAAGTTAAATGTTGAGGTACAACATATGATTTTTCTGCAGAATTAAAACAAAAGCTGCAGTATCAACGTAAGAACCATTTTGAAAAAAATCGCTTTCCGTATCGTGCCAGAGAAATAATCTACAAATCTAAAATCTACAAAGAACTCAGCCAGCCGTGACTGGCCCAGCACGAAATGTACTTACTTAACAAACCTGTCATTTAAAGAAATAACAATAAGTTACGGTAAACAAATCTGTCATTTTAAAAAAATAACAATAAGTTACGGTAAACAAATCTGTCATTTAAAGAAATAACAATGAGTTACGGCATACAAATCTGTCATTTAAAGAAATAACAATGAGTTACGGCAAACACATCTGTCATTTAAAAAATAACAATGAGTTACGGCAAAGAAATCTGTCATTTAAAGAAATAACAATAAATTACGGTAAAAAAATCTGTCATTCAAAGAAATAACAATAAGTTAAGGCAAACTAATCTGTCATTTTTTTAAAGATTTAGCGTCGAAACTTACTATTTTTGTTTGTTTATATCAGAAATATGTCATGTATTCTTAAATGGTACAAACCTAAATTCTACAACGGCCGCGAGTGCACAGTTTAAACCAAAAGTTTTATATCTATGGAACATTGATAGAGTATAGCATTCTGTTATCTATGGAACAGTGATAGAGTATAGCATTCTGTTATTTATGAAACAGTGATAGAGTATAGCATTCTGTTATATATGGAACAGTGATAGGGTATAGCATTCTGTTATTTATGGAACAGTGATAGAGTATAACATTTTGCTATCTATGGAACAGTGATAGAGTATAACATTTTGTTATCTATGGAACAGTCCATTAGGATCTTACGACCCACGCTAGAAGGAGGTTCTTACAACAGATTTATCACTGCTGAGTGGACGGAATGGAAATTCAAACTGTCACTAGCAGATCGTTTTTTTTCTTCACAGCAACGAATAATGTGACTATAATTAGAGACAACGCTCACATACCGACCTAAAAAGTTTTTGTTGGGAGGGGGGAGAAAGGGTGCATGATTTAAAAAGTTTGACGATCTCTAGTATAAACGGAAACATAATTTAAGAGCTATGATATCATATAAAAAATATAGTTCGGAAGAATGAAATAAGTGTATTATCGATGTTCTTTGATTATTTTTCCGAATGAAGTTAATGCAAAACTAGAGGGACACATATACCTCCTCCACGGAGAATTGGTCATATTTGGCCCTCAAAAAATATGAAACTGTGTCCTTATGTCTGTTTTTATCAAGAGACACTGACCATTTTTGACAGGACAATGAGGAATAATATTCTACATATGTTCACGAAGTTTAATAAAAATCCGATCACTTTTGATTGAGTTTTAGAGCAAAAATAGTGAAAAATTGGTCCACATGTTAACAGATAGGGATTTGTTTATTTTCATGACCTTGACCCTTCAAAAACTAAGTACTTCTAAGTTGGGTTCTAGTCCAAGTGTATACCAACTTTCGCTCAAACCCATACAGCCGTTTGAGAAATCTTGCTGATAAATACTAACAAACACACACACTTGGGGGGGGGGGGCAAACATAACATTGTACTAAAACAATACATTTGAAGCAAATGGTCATATCAAATAAAGTAATTATCTAACTTTTGTCCAAAGATCTATTTATTTTACACACACTCACAAATGGTCATATCAAAGAAATTAATCATCTAACTTATGTTTAAAGATCTATTTATCTTACACACAGTCACAACTGGTCATATCAAATAAACTAATTATCTAACTTTTGTCCAAAGATCTATTTATTTCACACACAATCACAAATGGTCATATCAAAGAAACTAATTATCTAACTTTTGTCCAAAGATCTATTTGTTTTACACACAATTACAAATGGTCATATCAAAGAAACTAATTATCTAACTTTTGTTCAAAGACCCAGTTATCTTACACACAATCATAACTGGTCATATCAAAGAAACTAATTATCTAACTTTAGTCCAAAGACCCAGTTATCTTACACACAATCATAACTGGTCATATCAAAGAAACTAATTATCTAACTTTAGTCCAAAGACCCAGTTATCTTACACACAATCATAACTGGTCATATCAAAGAAACTAATTATCTAACTTTAGTCCAAAGATCTATTTATCTTACACACAATCACAACTAGTCAGAGTAAAGCCTCCGTTTTTTTTTTTTTTGCTTGTTTGTTTGTTTATCATGTCGGACGATGAGAAACTTAACAGCTGCGCCGGTGTTAAGTCACGGTAACTTTCTGTCTTTTGGTGAACAATTTTCAAACACAATAAGTAATCATTAACTAACCTGTCAGCGTATACATTTCACTATTATCGTGTTTCGCAAGTGATCTTTGTAACAGGTAATATCTTACCTTGGACGCTGTGCTTGGAGTTTTTCTCGGACGTTTCCGGTGCACGAAGACCATGTTGAAGTCCGTGTCCGTAGGCTCAGCAGTCCCTTTCTCCTCACCCACTCTTGGATGGCAGTAGTCAGAGTAGAGACTCTTCCCAGCAGAAGTACAATCGCACCATCTAAATTCTAGTACAGTATGAAATATAAAGTTGGGATAGTTATGCATTACGGTTTGGTTTGAATTTCGCGCAAAGCTACATGAGGACTATCTGCGCTAGCCGTCCCTAATTTAGCAGTGTCAAACTAGAGGGAAGGCAGCTAGTCATTAGCACCCACCGCCAACTCTTGAGCTACTCTTTTACCGTCACATTATAACGCCCCCACGGAGGAAAGGGCGAGCATGTTTGGTGGGACGGGGATTCGACCCTCAGATTGCGAGTCGAGTGCCCTAACCACCTGGCCGATAGTTATATAAACCAGTGAACAACTTAATGTAAAAACAGTTTATTTTCAGTCACATTGTGCTACTATAATGCGAGTTAAAAACAAAACCTACTTTTTTCGCACAATAAAAGATGCCATATTTCAGCCGACTAGTTTCGGCAACACAATAAAACTGAATTTTCAACACCACAGTCAGAGTTACAGCCCAATAACTCAACACTACAGTCACAACATCTGTCTGTTGAAAGTGCTAGTTATATTTTTCAAATACGAATTACTAATCATTTGATCCACCGTTTATCTCACTCTCATGAGCTCATTAACTCAACACCATAGAGTTACAACTCAATAACTGAATACCACAGCCAGGGTTACAGCCCAATGTGTGTTTGTTTGTTGTTCACTTAGTTGTAGCCTTAAAAAAAGGTCAAGGTCGAAAGTTTGATCTGAACTATTCTATAATTGTTGTTTTTCATAAAGATTAGAGTTACCGCTCATTTACTTCTTGCGTAAACAATTCTAATTTCAAAAGAGGCCAGGCGTGGCCCAGTGGAATAACGGAAAAACAGAGAGATATTAATAGGGCATATCTCGTTTTATTTTCGAGAATTTTAACTGATGGGGGAAAGCAGCTAGTCAAAACAACTCACCGCTAACTCTTGTTTGACAGAATATTAAGCTCTGGTCGTCACTTTTACACTGCATCCCCTCACTCAAAATGTGGGGCACGTTTTTACGGTGACGGTACGCAGACCGTATATATTCGGAATTACTGATAGGACGTGGGACATAGAAAGACAATGTGAAAGTTGAAACCCAACATTTAGATATTGTGGTTTATTCAATTACAGTCAATTAAATTCGCTCGAAATCCTCGCATCACTAACTATTTTTACACTATAGACGGCCCAGCATGGCCAGGTGGTTAAGACACTCGACTCGCAATCTGAAGGTCGCGGGTTCGAATCCCTGTCACACCAAACATGCTCGCCCTTTCAGCCGTGGGGGCGTTATAATGTGACGGTCAATCTCACTATTCGTTGGTAAAAGAGTAGTCCAAGAGTTGGCGGTGGGTGGTGATGACTAGCTGCCTTCCCTCTAGTCTTACACTGCTAAATTAGGGACGGCTAGCGCAGATAGCCCTCGTGTAGCTTTGCGCGAAATTCAAAAACAAACAAACAAACAAACACTATAGCATATTAGTTGTAAGTTTTAGCACAAAGTTAACATCACAAATCATCATTACCATGGCTGAACGTAAAACCTCAACACTGTGATAGGTTTAGTTACCTGAAACAACAGAATATCTTGGTTCTAATAGGACTATCAGAAACACTAGAGAGAAAATAACAATGCATTCTTAGATCGGTGATGTAATGAATATATGTATGTAGGAAGACAGAGTCTGTTCGTTTGTTTTGAAATTCGCGCAAAGCCACCCAAGGGCTATCCGTGCTAGCCCTCCCTAGTTCTGCATTGATAGACTAGAAGAAAGACAACTAGTCAACAACACCCACCGCCATCTCTTGGGCTACTCTAACACGTAAACCCAGCTAACTAGCATGTAAAGCTAGATAACACGTAAAACCAAACTAACTAACATGTAAAACCAGTTAACTAATATGTAAAACCAGCAAACTAACATGTAAAACCAACTAACTAACATGTAAAACCTGAATAGAAACACCAGCTAACTAACATGTAAAACCAGTTAACTAACACGTAAAGCCAGCTAACTAATACGTAATACCAGCTAACTAACATGTAATACCAGTAAAACCAGTTAACTAACACGTAAAGTCAGCTAACTAATACGTAATACCAGCTAACTAACATGTAAAACTAGCTAACTAACACGTAATACCATATAACTAACACGTCATACCAGAGAACTAACATGTAAAACCAGTTAACTAAAACGTAAAAACAGAAAATTAACACGTAAAACCAGCTAACTAATATGTAAAACCAACTAACTAACACGTAAAATCTGAATAGAAACCCCAGCTAACTATAACGTCCTCGTAGTAAAATCTGAATAGAAACATCAGCTAACTAACATGCAAAACCCCTGAATAGAAACACCAGCTAACTGCATGTAAAACCAGTAAACTAACACGTAAAAGCAGCTAACTAATACGTAAAACCTGAAAGGAAGAACCAGCTGACTTACACGTAAAACCTGAACAGAAACACCAGCTTACAAACACGTAAAACCTGAATAGAAGAACCAGCTAACGAAGACGTCCTCGTAGTAAAACCTGAATAGAAGAACCAGCTAACTAAGACGTCCTCAGACTAACATTAAAAAAGTTAAAAAAAACGTAATACATACAAAGACACAGAAGATTCCAATGGAAATAAAATTAACACAAAATAAGAATAATCGCTTTAGTTCACAGGATAAAATGTCTAATGAGGGAGAGAATTTGGAGTAAGTTGGCCAGTTGCTATGATATACACGTTAGCCTAACTAAAAAACAGCGGGTATTTGTGTTAAACGTTTTTACATAAACTAAGAGAAAACATTGAACCAGTATCAAAGAAAGTTTTGTTTTTTTTAATACAAAGATACAGAATGGGCTATCTGTGTTGTGCCCACAATAGGTATTGAATATTTTTCCATTTGAATTTTAGATTTTTAAAGGAACTGAAAGGAAACTTGCAAACAGTATCAAGAAATGTTTTTAACACAAAGATACACAATGGACTCTCTGTGCTATGCCCATCACGAGTATCGAAACCCGGTTTTTCGCTTTACAAGCATTCAGGCTTACTGCTGAGCCACTGTGGGATAGGCAAATAATATTAAAAAGTCACACTCTCAATTAGAAGTTATGAGAACTTTTGATAAACGATGTGAACACGATATTAATGTAACATTACATTCACCCAAATCTTCTTATACAACAATTAATTTAAATATATTATTAAAATAACTATATATATCTGGAGACTTTTAGTACCAAAAACTGAAGATGTCTAGTCTTTGTTTTGAAAAAAAAGTTTGTTTGTTGATAAGTACAATGTTGCTTCATGGGCTACCTGTGTTGTTCTCATTGCGAAGATCAGACCCTTAATTTTAGCGTTATAAGCCCTCACAATTATCGCTGAACAACCAGGCGTTGGTAGCGAATAAAGAAGAGGCATTTTACAAGATATTTTTAAGTCTAGACTTAAGATACAACGTTTTAATGAAAAGCTAGGTAGGTTTAATTCACAAGTGACTAAATTCCGTTTTATAGTATTTCGGTTTTTTAACTGGAAACTTTGGAAATTGAGGCTGAGGTTCGGGGTGGGTGGTGGCACCATTTCAAAATTCGACCCTTCTAAAATCTTTAATGACGGAAGGAAACACGACAGTAGAGGTAAATTGTAACTGACATGCACATTACAACTTAATACTGGGACCAGTGGTGGCTTAGTATTTCACATGCCTGGACTGTGAATCCAAAAGTTCATGGTTCGCATCCATTGCTGCAAAAATGTGGTTCGTAATTAGAGGCCATGGGTGCGTTATGGGGATGACTGTCAAAGCCTACTATTCGATTAGAGTAACTCAAGTGTTGGCGGTGAGTGTTATTGACTACTTACCTTCCTTCTAGTCTATAAATTCAAAATTCTAAATAAGCCAGTTCGAGACTAAAGTTTTATAAATCTCTTACTGCATGCCACCCCCCCCCTCCCAGTGGCACAACAGTAAGACTCAAGACTTATAATGCTAAAAATAGGGTTTCGATACCCCGTGGTGGGCACAGCACAGATAGCCCACTGTGTAGCTTTGTACTTACATTCTTACTGCACATTTAAAAAATAAAAACAATATTATACCATGAAGAAAAAAATTCTAGAATACTGTACTGTATATGATTCATGAAGAGACAATACTATTAAGTAAATAAAATAATGTTTAGATGAAAAAACCCGAACAACTTATATATCAAAAGAAAGCGTTTATTAAATTAAATGGTTTCCATTCTTATCGATGATGCTCTTCCACCTTACAATCAGGTTGTTAATGCCATGATTAAAGAAATTACTTGACTTTGAAACAAAAAACATGTCGATGTCCTTTTTAACACCTTGCATATTTGCATACGTTTTCCCATTAAGATGGTGTTGCAGCGAACCAAAAAGATGGTGATCTGATGGTGCCATATCTGGAGAATATGGTGGGTGGGGGAGAAATTTCCAATCCAACTCCATAATATTGTGTTGCATCAAACGTGCCACATGTGGACGTGCATTGTGGTGGAGAAGAAGAACACCTTTCCACATGTGGACGTGCATTGTGGTGGAGAAGAAGAACACCTTGCCAATTGACGAGTGAAGGGCGTCTCTGATGAAGGGCTTGATTCAATCGTTTCAGTTGCTGACTATAGATATCTGCATTGACAGTTCACTGTGGATTGATGAGTTCGAAATGAATTACTCCTTTGATGTCCAATCAAATGCAAAGCCCCACTTTCCGCGGATGGAGTCCAGGTTTTGGGGTTGGAAGTAGACTGAGCCATTGTTTAATATTCGCATAGAGAATTAATTTTTCATCATCGGTGACAGTTCTATCCAAAAATGGTTCACGCGCCAGAAGAGATGAAGCAACGTTCACACGTTGGAAACGATGATCATCGGAGAGTTCGTAAGGCAGTCAAACACATTCTTTATGGAGTTGTCCCATATTCCTTAGATGTTTAGGTATTGTTTCATGAAAGACATGCAATTTCGGGGCCATTTCACGAGTG